TTAAAAAAAATAATTGCATTGAATTAATAATATATTTTATGTAAAATTATTGATGAAATAGGTAAACATAATTAAAATTATGATAAGTTTTTTTTTTGGTTAAAATGTTTTCAGTTTTAAAATTTATCAATTATCTATATACTGGATAAATAAATCAATTTATTTATCGATCAAACAATCAACAAAAAAAATATTATTGTTGACCTCATATGTTTGAAACAAATAAAAAAAAATAACAATAATTACCAAACAATAGATTTTCAAATTAAAATTAAAAAATCATAAAAACAAAAACTAAAACAGTTTTACACTCAAGAGGTTAGTATTAAAAAAAAACAGACAATAATTCAAGCGATTAAGGATTAAATACATCAAAGAATTAATATACAAAAAAAAACAACAACAGAAACTCTAGATAGATCAGCAAAATCAAAGTACAGGTGCAGAAATGGATCCGCGAAAACCTATGTACCGATTGCCAGACTTTACACAAAGGCCGTCATCAGAGAGACAGCCGACTCCTTTTGGCCCAATGCGGCCAATAGTGATGCGGCCGATATTGCCTAACGGAGCCGAACAGTATTTCAGACCACAGTCTTCGCCGTTGCCATCTATTCAACAAAGAACACAATCGCAATCAACTGGATTTCCAACTGTAGGTAGTGGCGAATCGTCATCATCGGACAGTTGGCATAGAGCTGCTGGTAGTAGGACATCATCACCGACAAGATCCCGATCTTTATCATACGACAGCACTAGTGGTCGTTCGACTGGTGTGCGGACACCACCACCTATGAGTTCGTTAGGCACACAGTTTCCGTCGCCGTCCAGGCGTTCGATGGGCACACAGTTTCCGTCGCCGAATCGCCGAACTATGTCGTTACCATCTGAACATTCACCAACACCTCCCGGATCACCAGCGCTTTCGTCACGACTATCACATAGTCAACCACTGGAGCCGAAAATAATTGCTGATAATATTGATAGAGAATCCTTGAGTTCAGATGAAGGCACAACACTATGGCGCGGTAAACGAATGCTTTCTCTACATCCAACACCACCATTACTACCAAGACGATCAGTGGGACCACCACAACAGCCACGAACACCACCCGGATCACCACCAATGCCGTCACGAGCATCGCCGGGACCACCTATGGAGCCGATAATGAATTTTGACGACGAATCTTGGATTCTAGAAGATGACAAAAAATCATCGATTGGTGGATCTTCTTCTCAATCTTTAACACCAAAACGGACAGAATTCTGGGAACCGCCAAAACTTGTATACGATCCCGATCTGCCAGAGTTTAGAGGACATGGTCGTGGACAACTTGAACATCGACAGGTCACACATATACCTGGCGATCCATATTGGGGCGGTTGGCGGGGATGGGATGTGTGGGACAAAGTAGGCAAAAAAACACGCAAACGAGCTTTTCAGTATAATCCTGCTAATCCACCAAATCGTCTTCCAGACGCTGTGGCCACAGAAGATCCCTTTTGGACTGATCCAACATCCGATCGAATAGACAGATTTGAAACGTCAGGTCTTCATACTTATTGGGCTCCGAAAGAAGCCGAAGAGAGTGTATATCGCGAGCGCGAACCAACAGCCTTTCGTCGGGCGCCGTTCCCGATGCCGACCAGTGATACAGAGGCTAGCAGCGGTCGCAAAAGTTTAGGTAAACGGCTCTCACGTTTCGGTACGCGGACCAAACGATTCTTCAGTCGTAATCGTAGACGTGGTGCCGACGTTGGTGGTGGCAGCAGCGCGAGCCGAAACGGTCAAATATCTACTGAAAACATATCAATGAAATCGTTGAATGAAATACAAGAAGAATCGCCAAACGGTTCTCATTCGCGGACACCATCGCCACCGCCGTCATCACTGGGAACACAGTTTTCGTCAACGAGTGGACAAACTCAACAACAACAACAAAGATCATCAAAAGGCAGAGAACTTGTGTGTAGGTGTCGACTAACACCTTGTTTATGCAGTTGTGGTATCGAGTGATGATGTAGTCAGTAGTCATGTATGCGTGTCTGGCAAATGTATAGAAACATACCGGTGCTTATCATCAGAAAATATGATTCAGTAGATGATAATTTATATCTACTGTACTGTATATATATATATACAGTACTTAATTTTATTAATTGTAATAAAATTCATATCAGTTCTACTAATCTAATACTGTATTAAATTTAACGAAAATCCTAAACTTACTGATAAACTAAACTAAAAGAAAAAATTAATATTTTTGCCATTTTTTATTTAAAAAAATATATACTGTATTTCAAACAAAATTATCACAGATTTAATTGATATCTAATTGGTTTCTAAAATTGATTTTTAAGGGTTACTTGGCTTATGGTAGAGGCTATGTAACTACAACTACTACTTACTTGTACTGTATATTTAATTGCATACTAGAAAACATACAAATTTTTACAATCATACCTACCATTCACTTAATTTACATTTCAGACAACAATTTAATATATTTAATACTTTGAATACTTGAAAGTATGAATATTATTCAAATAATAATAATAATATTGATATTTTTGACGATACGCACCGGTATATACAGTATATATATACATTGTCCACACACACACACACACACATACATACATGACTGACTGATTAGATACTTCAGATGAGTCTGCATTTACAATCATTGTATGTGTGTCCGCATCCACACAACGGAACATTACCTTTTGGTGATCCTTCTTCTTCTTCTTCATTCAGATAACTCATTCTTTTCTGGTGTTGTTGACTATCGCTGTTGATATCATATGTACCGCGTCTTCGTCTAAACGGACTTCTAATAGCCGAACCAAAGCGTCGTAAAGTGTTTCCGAAACCACCAGCTCTGGAACTTCTCGACGACTGACCACTTGGGGAAAACGGCGATTGACGCGATTCAGTCGATTCAAACTGACGACCAGCATAGTAACCCCGGTCTCGCGGCAATGCGTCTGGCATTGGATAGGATCGGCGATTCGATGATTCAAACTGATTGATCCGATCAAAAGATGACATATCTGGTATCGGTTCGATGCGTTGAATAGATGTGTTGGAACTGATTCTCGATCGACTTCTCGACGTAGTGGGCGTTGACCGTATTGATGATAATCCAGAGAGAGAAGTCACTGATGTCAACGACGATGAGTTGGACGATGGAGTCAGACTTCTGCCACTACTGCTGCTGTTGTACGACCCAAAAGAATTTGATGGCGAATATGATGACCGGGAAGTCAAGGATGTCAACGACGACGATGGAGTCAGACTCCCTTCACTACTACTGCTGATGTAGTTTAAAGAATCGGGTGGCGATGGCATACTATTGCTGAATGATTCCCTCTTTTCATCTATACTAGAACTGCTCGAACTGTATTTTGGAGGAACCGGGCGACCAATCAATGAGTTGTTATTGTCTTCGTCTTCAGACGTACTTTCGCTGTCCAAATCGAGTCTCGGTTCCATAAATGTCAGAGGTCTCAGTGGTCTTCGTCTCGTTGGCTGTGTTGGCTCCGAATGAGATTGTTGTGGCGCATCACGTGGTGGTGATCTGGAAGATGATCGTTGTGGCGACGCTTGTCGTGATCCGGACGGTGAAGACCAACTTGGCGATGGCGCCCTATTGTCGATTGATCCCAATTCTACATCAAAACTAGAACTACTTGAACTGCGTTTTGGAGAAACCGGGCGACCAATCAATGATTTGTTATTGTCTTCGTCTTCAGACGTACTTTCGCTGTCGATTGTCTGCTCCATAAATGTTAGAGGTCTCAGTGCTCTTCGCGGTGCTGACTCTGATGGCTTGAATGGCGTGGAAATAAATCGTCGTGTTGGTGAACCTGTTGGTGATCGTCGCGGCGTTGGCGATCCAGGAGGTGAAGGCCAATCTGAACTGAATGGTTCGTCACTACCCATTCTGGACAACCCAGTTGGCAACGATTGTGTCCTCCGAAGCGTTGGAGTCGGCAATCTAGAGGATTGTTGTCTCACTTCGCCCAGCGGTCGCATTCCGCGGGTCGTTGGCGGTCGAAAATAGTGTTCAGCTCCTTCAGGCAATATCGGTCGCATCACTATTGGCCGCATTGGAGCAAATGGTGTCGGCTGTCTCTCTGATGCCGGTCTTCGTGTAAAGTCTGGCAATCGGTACATAGGTTTTCGCGGATCCATTTCTATACCTGTACTTTGTATGCTTTGTTTAACTGATTGGTTGTCCCTATTTGACTGTCTATTCCTAAATCTGTATCTTATCTAATCTTTCGACTTCTGTCTAAACTTTTTTTTTTTTTGAAATTGATTTTGTCAGACGTTTTTTTAGTGTTTTGTGATTTTTATTGAAAATATTTTAATTTTAATTGTTATTAACAATTATTTTGACGGCATTTTATCTTGAATATGATATTTATCAAAACCCGAGGATCGAGCAAACAGTCTAACCATAGATAGGACGCCATCGCCATCCGAGTCTTTTGGGTACAACTGTAGTCATAGCGGTTGGAAAAAAAGTCCTGATCTCAGTCTGTCTAAACTTACTGATGAACTAAACTAATAGAAAAAATAAAAAATTTTGCCATTTTTATATTAAAAAAATCAATATATATATATTTCAAACAAATTATCATAGATTTAATTGATTTCTAAAATTGATTTTTAGGCTTATGGTAGAGGTATGTAACTACAACTACTACTTACTTATACTATATATTTAATTGCATACTACTGTAGAAAACATACAAATTTTTACAATCATACCTACCATTTACTTAATTTAAATCCCAGTCATCAACAATTAAAACATTTATTACTTTGAATACTTGAAAGTATGAATATTATTCAAATAATGATAATAATATTGATAATCATATTTTTGACGATACGCACCGGTATATACAGTATATACATTGTCCACACACACATACACACACACACATACACACACACACAGATACATACATGACTGACTGATTATACTTCAGATGAGTCTACATTTACAATCATTGTATGTGTGTCCGCATCCACACAACGGAACATTACCTTTTGGTGATCCTTCTTCTTCTTCATTCAGATAACTCATTCTTTCGTGTTGTTGTTGCTGTTGTTGTTGACTATCGCTGTTGATATCATATGTACGACGTCTTCGTCTAAACGGAGTTCTAATAGCCGAACCTATGCGTCGGAAAGTGTTTCTGAAACCACCAGCTCTGGAACTTCCCGACGACTGACCACTGGCGTCGGCACTGGACCTGGAAAACGGAGACCTACGCGATTCAGTCGATTCGAACTCACGGCCAGCATAGTAACCCCGGTCTCGCGGCAATGCGTCTGACATTGGATATGATCGGCGATCCGATGATTCAAACTGATTGATCCGATCGAAAGACGTCATATCTGGTATCGGTTCGATGCGTTGAATAGATGTATTGGGACTAAATCTCGATCGACTTCTCGTCGTAGTGGGAGGCGTTCTGGGAGGCGTTGGCGGGAATAATCCAGAAAGTGAAGGCCCTGAACTTAGCGACGATGGACTGGACGATGGATACAGACTTCTTCCACTATTGCTGCCACTACTGCTGCTGTACTTAAAAGAATTGGGTGGCAATGGCTTCCGATTGTTGTTGTCTTCTTCTTCTTCTTCAGACGTACTTTCGCTGTCATAGTCGACTCTCGGCTCCATAAATGTTAGAGGTCTCAGTGATCTTCGCGACCCTGGCTCTGGTGGCCAGGAAGGTCCTTGTCTGTTCGCTGGTAGTGTTGGCGGTGATCGTCGTGGCGATTGAGGAGGCGTTGGCGACCAGTTGTTGTTTGATCCCCACTCTTGTTTTGGAGAAACCGGGCGACCAATCAATGATCTGTTATCATTTTCGTCATCAGAGGTACTTTCGCTGTCATAGTCGACTCTCGGCTCCATAAATGTTAGAGGTCTCAGTGATCTTCGCGGCTCTGGCTTTATTGGCGTCGAAATATATCGTCGTATTGGCGAACCAGGAGGTGAAGGCAATCTTGAATTGAGTGGTTCGTCACTACCCATTCTGGACAACCCAGTTGGCAGCGATTGTGTCCTCCGAAGTGTTGGAGTCGGCAATCTAGAGGATTGTGGTCTCACTCCGCCCAGCGGTCGATAGTAATATGCGGCTCCTTTGGGCAATATTGGCCGTATGACTATTGGCCGCATTGGGGCAAATGGTGTCGGCTGTCTCTCTGATGCCGGTCTTCGTGTAAAGTCTGGCAATCGGTACATAGGTTTTCGCGGATCCATTTCTATACCTGTACTTTGTCCGCTTTGTTTAACTGATTGGTTGTCCCTATTTGACTGTCTATTCCTAAATCTGTATCTTATCTAACCTTTAAAATCTGACATACCTTTTGTTTCTTTTGCTTGAAATAGATTTGATTTTGTCAGACGTTTTTTGTATTTTGTGATTTTTATTGAAAATTTTGTTTAATTTTAATTGTTATTAATAATTGTTTAGACGGAAAAAATTTTTTTAATTAAAATTACAACAATGTATTAACAATGTATTACTAATATTACTTGCACCTGAAATCAGTCGATTGATTCACTTTAGATGTATAAAAAAATATCAATCACAATATGATTCCACACCACCCCTACCTAACACACTACTATCTAACCCCACCATCACTTCCTAACCTCCCACATCTTACCTCATCCACACCCCCCCCCCAAACTAACCCAAATATAAAGATGTTTAATGCTTTTATATTACACTTTAATTACAATATTTTTTTAAATATCTATATTACCTAATGTTCAAATTCTGCACTTTAACTAAACATCTACTATACTGTATAGTGTATGTCTATAAAATAAACTTTATATATAATCTAAATGAAACTGTCGTTACAATTGTTGTACTCTAGCACACACATCATGGATGGTTGCTCTCTGCCAGACAAACATTTGGGTCATATCGTTAACCAAATTCAAGAGTTCTGACGGTATGGCCGGCATATTGGGCTGATTGATGTGCAACTGTGGTAGTTCCTGGCGAAATGTTATTCCATTATAATAGGGTCGGCCGAGTAGACAACTGGCCACAGTAGCGCCCAGTGAATAGACATCGCACAAAGGGGTGTAAACTTCTTTAGGTGGTATTGACATTTCGGGCGGTTTGTAGAGTGGACTGCCGCGATTGACTTTCGAATGCATATCTAATTTGTCCAGATAGACAATGGCCAGTCCAAAGTCGGCCAATTTGTACTGCCATTGATTAACAGGTTTACCGCCATTAGTTTGGTACAGTATGTTAGCCGGTTTGATATCCAAATGAACCATTATCTCATCGAAGTGCAGATAACGAACTGCTTCGGCAATCTGTCGGAGCCATGCAATGGTCTGTTGCTGAGACATAGCTCGGCTGACTATAAGACTGTTGAGATCGCCGTCACATTTGTCCATCATTATCAATATACTCGAATAGGGAAAACCTGTTTGCGAATCGGGTATACCGATAATGTCAATGAATTGGACAATGTTGTTGTGTCGTAGATACCGGAGCTGATTCATATCTGTCAACATTGCCTCTACTCTGCGTCGAAAAGAACTACTGCCTGAAGTATAGCGCATCACTTTGCAGGCCAACCTAACATTCCTCCATTTAAAATATCCAGCTCTGGGGGCCTTATTTTGTTTTGCCGTTATTTCCCAAACTGAACCAAAACCACCAGATCCTAGTTCGCGAACAAACTTAATATTACGCCACAGATTGTCCGGAGTCTGGCCTTTAACATACCTGAGCTGTTGATCGGGTAACGGCAGTCCCTTTGCATTTGCCAGCTGGTAATCCTGGCCAATCTTACTTTCGTCGACATATAATTGATGCCAATTGGGTGGTCCCTGTACAGGCAAGCAGTACTCGTTAAACGGTCCGTACCGGCGCCGATAGGGGCTGTTTTTATTGATCCGGTGATACATGTCCTCAAATTTGAAACCCATTCCGCTGCCAAACGGATGTACATTTGGCGGCAATGGTGGAACTCTACGACCCTGTCGTTCAGACTCTAGATTTTGCAAATATATCTTATTTACCTGATATGTCATCTTTTTGTTTGTTTGTTTGTTAGTGTCTGTCTATTATCTGTTACTTACTAGTCCTGTAATTAGTCTGTCTGTCTGTTTCTATGAATTTATTTTTATTTTTTTTTTTTTTTGAATATTATAGTTTTTAAAAAATAAGTATTAATTTAAATAATTGTTTAAAATTTTATTATTTGTATCTTTTTTGTATTTATTAACAATGAGTTTTTTTAATAAAAATTATAAAATACATTGTTATGTTATACTGTCATTATTTTTAAACGATATTCGTATTTTTAATATTGTAGTTCAAACTAATAATTTTATTGTATTGTACTTTACTCTATAGTTATAATATATCGCATTATATTAGATATTGAAAACAGTGATTAATTTTTTTTATTAATCTAAAAAAATCTAAATAATAATTATAATTATCAATAAATAATCATTTTAAAAATCAAAAATATTATTATATTACATTACAACAAAAAATAATTTTATCATTAATTTTAACTAATGTCTCAATTCTATACTATACAGTATATATATATACATACAATATATACACTACTATACCATTATAAGTGAAAACAGTCGTTACAATTGTGCCGCTCTGTCACAAACCTCTTGGATGGTTACTCTCTGCCGGACAAACACTTGGGTCATATCGATGACCAAATTGTAGAGTACGGACGTTATGGCCGGCATATTGGGCTGATTGATATGCAACTGTGCTAATTGTTGGCGAAATGATATCTGATGATACTGTTGTCGACTGAGTAGACAACACGCCACAGTAGCACCCAGTGAATAGACATCGCACAAAGGGGTGTACACTGCTATCGGTGGATCTGACATTTCGGGTGCTTTGTAGACTAAACTACCCCGATTGACTTTCGACTTCATACTGGAATTTTCTTTATAGGCAATGGCCAGTCCAAAATCGGCCAATTTGTATCGCCATTTATTAACCGGTTGACCGCCATTAGTTTGGTACAGTATGTTAGCCGGTTTGATATCCAAATGAACCGTACGCTTATCGACGTGTAGATAGCGTAGTGCTTCGGCAATCTGTCGGAGCCATGCAATGGTTTGTTGCTGAGACATAGCTCGGCTGACTATAAGACTGTTGAGATCGCCGTCGCATTTGTCCATCATTATCAATATACTCGAATAGGGAAAGCCTGTCAGCGAATCGGGTATACCTATAATGTCAATGAATTGGACAATGTTGTTATGTCGCAGATGCCGGAGCCGATTCATATCGATCAACATTGACTTTACTCTGTTTAGAAAATTAGAAGTACTGCCTGAAGTAAAGCGCATCACTTTGCAGGCCAACCTAACATTCCTCCATTTAAAATATCCGTCTCTGCGGGCAGTATTTTTTAGTGCCGTTATCTCCCAAACTGAACCATAACCGCCAGATCCTAGTTCGCTAACAAACTGAATATTACGCCACAGATTGTCCGGAGTCTGGCCTTTAACATACCTGAGCTGTTGATCGGGTAACGGCAGTCCCTTTGCATTCGCCAGCTGGTAATCTGTGCCAACCATTGACTGGTCGGGCCACAATTGATCCCAATTGGGCGGTCCCTGTATTGGTAAGTCGTACTCAAATTGAAACGGTCCGGTGTTTCGCCGAAAGTCGTTGTCGTCGAGCTCGTCATACATGTCTTCAAATTTGAAACCCTTTCCGGTACCAAATGGATTAGCCGGTGGACCCGGTTTCCAGAACTGCCACCATCGACTACCATTTCGTTCAGATTCTAGATATTTAAGATATGCCGGACTTACCTCATGTGTCATTTTTGGTTGTCACCTACTAGTGCTAGTGTTGTCTGACTGTCTGTCTTGAAGTAAAGTTGTAAATAATTTTTTATCAATTTTAAATTAATAGATAATAATGTATTTTTTTCTTAAAAAATAAATAAAATTTGTAATTTTTCTATATTTAAAAAATAACCGATTATAGAGTATACATACCAATAGCAGGTTTCAAACATATATTGAAGTACATCATATGTATGTTTACATTAACCCGTTGTTGTAGTTGTGTATCAATTTATCACTATTACTGATATAGACTGATATATTGATATTTAGTACTATATAATGAAAATCAAATCTAATAAAAACCAATACATTTTATTTTTACAAATTAAAAACTTTTTATATATACCTTTTATTTTGTTGTTGTTGTTATTGGGGTTTGTTTTGTCTGTTTCTATAGTTGTCTGATTCGGTCGAGCAGTGTTTGGGCGTCGGGACGTTGTTGCGGATCTACGGCTAACATCTCATCAATCAACTGTCTGAACTCCGGGCTAATTTCACTGCCTAACTGGTGAAGTTGGTTACGAGCATTTCTACCCCGATAGAATGTATTACCTATTAGACAATTGACAACGGTGGCACCTGCTGAATAGATATCGCACGGTGGAGTGGTTACTGTTTTTCCAAGTTGACCCATCGGACCGTGCCGTTGACCAGGAGCGGGAAAAAATTCTGGTGCAACGTAAGCAGTTGTACCGCCCGGAAAGTTGGTCTCTTCCATTGGTTGGCCCGGTTCGTAGGCAATAGCCAATCCAAAGTCGCCCAACTTGTAGATCCGTTTACCACCGAAACGATTTTTGTACAAAATGTTTAGCGGTTTGATATCCAGATGAACCATACGATTATCATTGTGCAGATAGACAAGTGCTTTGGCAATATGTCGGAGCCATTTGACTATTTCCTTTTCACTCATATAGTTTGTGCTGCGGATGAAACTGTTGATGTCGCCGTTACACAACTCCATAAGCATCAATACCCGTGAATAGGGAAATCCAGTTAGCGGATCGGGTATACCTATAAAGTCGACATACTTTACAATGTTGTCGTGTTTGAGAAACTGTAGCCTCTGCATGTCTGCCAACAGTATATTCACACAGGATCTGATATTACCTCTACCGTTATAAAAGTATGTCATCACTTTGCAGGCCAGTCGCAAGTTTTCCCATTTCTGCCAAAACATGATTTTTCTCAGACCATCCTTTTTCAGTTTTTGTCGTGTAGTCACTTCCCATACGGTACCAAAACTGCCGGATCCCAATTGACGTACAAACTCTATGTTCTGCCATTGGTCGCTATGTCCTTCATCTTTCACATACCTGAGATGATCGTCCAGTAATGGCTGTCCATATGGTATACGTCTATAATGTTCCAGACCAACCTTGCTCTGGTCAGTAAACACTTTATCCCAATTGACCGGTCCAATTGCCATACTTGTGCTACTGCTGGCTGCTGTTGTTTTTGACTATGATTTTATTTTTATTTTTTTTTAAAACATTGTTATATTGTTATATTTTGAAATTTGTATTTTTTAAATATATATTTTTTAAAATAAACTACTAAAGAGTACCATAAAAGTATGACCCGAAGTGCGCCCGACCGTTTGTTGGTTAACCCGTTTACATACATATGTGTGAGTGAGTGTGTGTGTGTGTGTGTGTGTGTGTGTGTGTGTGTGTGTGTACCGCGCGATGATTATTATACTGGTATTCATTTTTATCGTATAAAATCTGGGCTTAATTTCATTTATTTTTTTAGGTTGTCTTATATTTTGTTTGATCATAAATTACTAATTTGTGATTAACTTATTAGTAATTAACTAAACAAAAAAAAAACAAAACATTTTTTTTTATTTATGTTTGTATTCAATGACCAAACACTGGTGTTTCCATTCTTGAAATGTAAGCCAAAAGTTTCTCAACGTATTGATGGCTAACACTATAGTCAATAATGGCATCAATTTGATTGCCGTTTCCCATACATGACAATAGGTATCGATTTGCCGGACACGTACGGCCAGCAAATCGTGTCTTATTTGACAGGTATTCAACAACAACAGCAACTGTCGGCGCGCGTCTCTGATACTCCATATAATGGTCAGTACGGTTGACAACAGACTTAAAATTGTCCAAAAGATGTTACTTTTGCAAAGATAGCCGAAGAATGTCTTTTTCTGATTAACTGATTCTATGCGGAAGTGTTGTCTTCCGATGCCATTACATATACCGGCTGTACTGTGTTGAAGATAATCGACAAGACATTGTTTGTGTGCCAATTGTTGTCGCTTTTCACCGCTAACACTGAGTTTGGCCACATTATTATTGCCGATAACTGGCCCATCAAATGGTGTCCGGCATAGAGAACAACACAACTGTTTTGTTGATCCCATTTCTTGTTACGAAAAAATAATTTTCACTTTTTAACCTACAAATGGTCCTCTCTGTTGATGTTTTAATGTTAAATAAAATTAAAACTTTTAAATTAATGATAAAGTTTTATTTTTCAACAATAATTTTATTTAGATTGCCGGACACTAGAGCACACATACGAGACCGACAGTGTTAGGTCACCATCACATTCAGTGATATATACGGGCCGAACATCTATAGCCTGTAGTGTGATAGCCACATACCGGTGCCATAACCATAACCAATCTATTTACAGTAATGACAGTAAACTTTGAGGAATGGGACCGTACGATAAACACTGATGCGACCGATTTGGACGGTAAACGTAAACTGTATGACGACATGAAGGCTGAACTGACCAACAATGAGACAAACAAAAACAATAGCGAAGTGTTGTGGCGACTGAACAAAGTGTCTCTTTTGCTCAGTATTTCAAGCGATATCGAAACCAATCAACAAAGACAGTTGGCTTTCGAGGCACTGGAATATGGAAAACGATCGGTTAAGGCGGACCCAAAATCGCTGGACAGTCACAAATGGTATTGCATAGCACTGGGACGGGCAACCAAATTGGTCGGTGTCAAGGATAAGATCAGATACGGCCACGAATTCAAACAACACCTGGACTTAGCCTATAAGCTGGACCCAAACGATCACATGTTGCACTTCATGGCCGGCCGGTTTGCCTACGAGTTGGCCGCTTTGTCGTGGATCGAGCGTAACATTGCCCGCGCTCTGTACGGTCCGATACCGGAGGCCACCTATCAGGAGGCGTTGCAAAAGTTTTTCGATAGCGACAAATCCAAACCAAACTGGAAGGACAACTATCTATGGATTGCCAAAACTTATCGTAGACTAAGAAAAAAGACAACTGCCAGACAATGGGTTAACAAAGGACTCAATTTGCCTACAAATAACATAATGGATGAGTTGGCACACAAAGAGTTGCAACAATTGAAAGATAAGTTATCGTAAAAAAAAAGGATATTTAGTTATAATCTTCTAAATTGATAGACAATTAACATATTTTTTGTGGTTATATTAATTGTCAGATAAATAATTAATTGTTGAAATAACGAACTAAACGTTGCAATCAATCAATTTTTTCTTCTATGAATTCAATCAAATGTTATTTATATCAAATTTTTATATTAAATATACAGTAATTTTAATTATTATATCATTTTAATTAATTGATATAATCAGAGAATTTTTTTTAGTATTTTAAAACATAAAATATTCTAAATTCAAAAATTCTCTAACAATTTATAACTACAAAATTTTATAACTCTCTCTCTCTCTCTCTCTCTCTCTCTCTCTCTCTCTCTCTCTCTCTCTCTCTCTCTCTCTCTTTCCTCAAGAGTAATAACTTCAACAACAACAACATTATTTTAAAATAGACTTTCAATAGTTTTAATAGACTATTATTTATGATTATATAAAATTATTAAATTTACATAATGTAATATTAAATACTTTATATGATGTAATAAAAATAACAATAACAAACAAACAAAAGTGGAAAACACACTAATAATTAAATATTTATTTATTAAAAAATGGTATATAAAAATATTGGTTACATTAATAAAAATAATTATTTATACTTTCATAAAAACTTTATACTTTCATAAAAACTTTATATTTTCAGACAAACTTTTTTGACAGTACTTACAGTTTTTTTCCAAAAAAAAAAAATGAATTCAAATAATATCAATACGGAAAATGATTTTAACGATAAAGTAATGTTAATTTCAGGTAATGAAAATTAAACAATAATGTCCAATAAATAATAATTAATTAATCTATATTTTAATCCAGGTTCAAGCTCGGGAATTGGTGCCGGAGCTGCCGTTTATTTTGCAAAATTGGGCGCCAATGTTGTGGTCACCGGACGCGACTCATCTAAAGTCAAATTAGTGGCACAGGAGTGCCGACAACAACAACAACAACACACTGGCAAACAAACTCTCGAAGTTGTAGTCGATGTTCTGGACGACCGTCAGGTTCGGCATCTGGTCGACAAAACTGTTGGCCATTTCGGTAAAATCAACATTTTGGTTAACTGTGCGGGAATTGTAGATCACGGGTACATCGGTGACGACGACAACAACAACAAAGATCTGAAATATATGAAACTATTTGATGGTATAGTAAATACTAATTTAAGGTCAGCCGTGTTATTGACATCATTGGTGATTCCCTATCTCGAACAGACCAAAGGCTGTATTGTTAATATATCGAGTATTTCATCAATGATTCCGGTATTTATTGATTAATATGTTATTCAATTAATTACAACATTTATTATTAAACAAATTATTAAAAATTAAACATTAAAGGCAAAGACATGGAGTCCGTACGGTATATCCAAATGCGGTCTCAATATGTTCACCAAATGTCTGGCCATGGAATTGGGTCCGAAAGGCATTCGTGTCAATGCTATTCTGTAAATGTTTTTTTTATTTCATTTTTACTAAATTATTATTAATTAACTAATTAACTGTCACAATTGTCTACACCACCCACCCCCCACCCCCACAGTCCTGGTATTGTATTGACACCACTAATTGATACAATTAAACAGTTTGCCATCACTCAGGACGATATGAAAATGTTTTGCCAAATGACATATCCGTTACAAAGGCCCGGATTGGTTGACGACATCAACAAAGCCATCGAGTTCTTGGCCTCAGACAGTTGGGCACCGTTTGTCACCGGAAGTCTTGTGCCACTCGACGGCGGAGCTCTTGTCTGCAAAAAATACCGTTTGCGTGACAAACAACCAAACATTTTAACCAATTAATTGATTTCATAGAAACAAACAACAAATATTTTGAATTAACATTTTAAAAAAATCTTTTTATTCAAAATATACTGTAATGTGGAAAAAACTGTAGTTTACTGTATATAATATGTTTGTTGTTTATTAAAGGAAATTATTTTATATAACTAATAAATAAATAAATACATAAAAAATTAATGGTTTTTTGCTTTTTTATATTTCAAAGTTTTTTGTTTTGTATGTTTTGTAAATAAATGATTATTTTGTTGTATAATAGTAGTAGACATCTATAAACGTGCAAAAAAAATTATAAAACTTTACAAAAATAACTATAATATTGTAGGGGAAGTGGGTACATTACGGGTATCTAAGTTTGTCTAACCTTCCTTATGTAAACCAAACACTCGGCAATACACCACTTACCTTACGGTTTTGACTCTTTTAGTGATAACTTATAGTAATGCGTGGCTTAGGAACGAGCGGTTTCCTATTTATTCTACTCTGACCAATTAATTCTTTAGCCCAAATAGGTTTTGTCCCCCAATAGGGTCTGTCACCCAAATAGGGTCTGTCACCCAAATAGGGTCTGTCACCCAAATAGGGTCTGTCACCCAAATAGGGTCTGTCACCCAAATAGCGTCTGTCACCCAAGTAGGGTCTGTCACCCAAATAGGGTCTGTCACCCAAATAGGGTCTGTCACCCAAATAGGGTCTGTCACCCAAATAGGGTCTGTCACCCAAATAGGGTCTGTCACCCAAATAGGGTCTGTCACCCAAATAGGCTCTGTCACCCAAATAGGCTCTGTCACCCAAGTAGGGTTTCAGATCCGTCTAGGGTTTCAGATCCGTCTAGGGTTTCAGATCCGTCTAGGGTTTCAGATCCGTCTAGGGTTTCAGATCCGTCTAGGGTTTCAGATCCGTCTAGGGTTTCAGTCCCGTCTAGGGTTTCAGATCCGTCTAGGGTTTCAGATCCGTCTAGGGTTTCAGTCCCGTCTAGGGTTTCAGATCCGTGTAGGGATTCAGATCCATCTAGGGTTTCGGATCCGTATAGGGTTACAAGGCCTGGAAGGACCGTGGGCCTGGAAGGACCGTGGGCCTGGAAGGACCGTGGGCCTGGAAGGACCGTGGGCCTATAAGGACCGTGGGCCTATAAGGACCGTGGGCCTATAAGGACCGTGGGCCTATAAGGACCGTGGGCCTATAAGGACCGTGGGCCTATAAGGACCGTGGGCCTATAAGGACCGTGGGCCTATAAGGTACACTAAGAGCCGTCCGTTAACGGATACGGGGTCCGGAGTTCTCATAATAAAAATATTTACTTACGTAATAGTTGTTAGCTGTCCGCGTAGTTGTGGATAGGTCCAAAGGCGTCCCTTAAGATGTCCAAACAGTTGATTCGCGATGACAAAGTAAACACACACACAAAGTAATATGCAAATACTTTTATTAATTCACTTTAAAGTAATACACGTAGTATGACTCCAAATGGAGAACTGATTTTGGTGTCTGAGAGACACCTCTATTTATACTAAAGTGTACGTGAGGAGAAAGTGTGTCACATTGAGTCAGGATTTAATCACTATTAAAACTGGGAGTTTACTATTTAATTTTTTCTATAACATTTTAGTGCATTATTTTAACACTCTATTTAACACAAAATATTGGATAAAGTTTCCTTAAAAACAAGGTGTTTACCTTTAGGTTTTTTGTAAAACATTTTAGTGCTGTTATAAATTTTTAACAAATAAAAATAAGAATAATTTTTGAAATAATTTTTCAGAGTATAACAAATAAAATACCCTTACAATATATCCTTGACTTCAATATAAAATTATTTAATGTTGAAATATTAGTGTATATAAGCATTTGTTTATTATAGGGAAAGTTTTCAATAATTTAGCTTATGTAATAATTATGTTTTTAATTATTTAAATAAAAACAAAACTATTTTGCTGATTTGACCCACTATTGCATTTCCGCCCCTTCAAGTCTTCATCTGTCCTCAGATGTGTAAAATCAGTAACACTAATAACTCATGTACACATTAGTTTACAAATTTATAAAATATTACTATAAAATCCCTTCACCTTAAAAAAATGCATGCATTATATAAACTTTAATCTAAAATACCAATAAACCATGCATTATAATAAAATTTTAACCATTGTCCGTTTTCTGATCATCATTGTGCTTTGTTTCTTTTTCCGTGTTATCATCTATTTCATCGTCCAGTTGATTTTCATTGTCATTTTGTGTAGTAATATGTTTAGCATTGTTACTATCTACTTCATCAATGCCGTCCAATTCAGGAATTGTTTCATTGTTCCATTTTCTTAATCGTCTTATATGTACTTTCTTAAACTTTTTCCTTGGATTATGTACACTTTGGACAGTGTATACAAGTGGACTGTGCCGCGTAATTATCTTATAAGGGCCAATATATTGGCTTAGTAATTTCGTACTAAGACCAATCTCTCTGTGAGGAATATGTAGTGACACCAAGTCACCCTCCTCAAATACTACATCGCGATGTTTAGCATCATAACGGAATTTACCATCATTATGAGCCTCTATAATTCTCATATGAACCAATCTTCTTGTCTCCTCCATATATTTTAAATAATTAGTGCCAAATGCAAAGTCACGCGGCAGATCATAAGATACGTCAATTGGTACTTTTGGTTCTCTTCCATATAGTAAGAAAAACGGAGAAACTTTGGTAGCTTTATGATGACTAACGTTATACGAGAATGTTACTTTGGGTAAGTACTGGTCCCAATTGGTAACATTATCTTGAACATAATGTTTAAGCATCATAGCTACAGTCCCACATGCTTTTTCTGCTGTTCCATTCGATTGTGGACTATATGGTGTGGTTTTCACATGTTTGGAGGCTGTCAACTTAATGACTTCTTCCATAAAGTCTGATATAAAGTATCTGGCATTATCTGTTAACACTTTTTTAATGGCGCCGTGTCTTGCCAATACTTCATCTACAAACCATTTCGCTATGGTAATGGCTTGTACATTCCTCACTGCCTTTGTCTCCATCCATTTTGTAAATAAGTCAATCATTATTATAATGTATTTACTGCCTTTTGACGTCGGAGAGAGAGGCCCAAGTATGTCTACTCCGACAATTTCAAATGGTTCATTGGCATCGATAGGCTGCAGCATTCCTTTCTCCAGTTTATTGTCGACTTTATTCAACTGACATGACTCGCAGTTGTTTACGTATTTTCTGATTGACTTTTCACAGTGAGGCCAGAAAAATCTCTCTTTGATTTTTCCATATGTCTTTTCAAATCCTAAGTGAGCTCCGGACAACTCATTGTCATGTAAATCTTGTAGGATTTGTCGTCTTAATTCTTTAGGAAGGCATAACTGTAGCCTCCTATTTCTATTATCATCATAACTTATCCTATATAGAATTTCATTTTCAATAATGAATTTGCTTAAGCTTTTACTTTGTTGATTATTTTTTATTTTCTCTTTTAATTCTTTACACCATTTATCACTATCTTGTTTCTCTATTATGTTTATTGTAGGATTTATTAGTACTGGTATTACTGGTTCCCAATCGTCTGGTTTTTCGTATGGATATCTTGATAATGCGTCAGCATTGTTATGTAATTTTCCTTTCTTATATTTCACTTCAAAGTCATATTCTTCGAGTATTGTTCTCCAATGCATTAATCTTCTGTTTGGGTTTTTCAAATTTCTAATATATTGTAGTGGATTATGGTCACTATATACCACAAAATGTTCGCCATATATGTAATGTCGATACCTTTCAACAGCCCATACTATAGCTAAACATTCTTTTTCTGTGATACCATAGTTTAGTTGTGCACTATTAAACATTTTACTGTTGTAACTGATGACGACATGTTTACCATTTTGAATTTGTCCTAGTATTGCTGACATGCCATAGCCACAAGCATCAGTGAATATTTCAATAGGGGCACCTTCTTGATATTGTGCCAGTATTGGAGCTGTAATTAATCTATTTTTAAGTTCATCAAACGCTTTTTGACATTTAATATCCCAGTTAAATTTAACATCTTTGCGCAACAGGTTTGTTAATGGTTCGGCTACAAAAGCATAATCTTGTACAAACACTCTATAGTAATTTGCTAGTCCAAGAAAGCTTTGTACATCTCTAACTTTCTTAGGTATCGGGAATGCTTTAACTGATTTTATTTTGTCTTCATCTGGCTTTATTCCATCCGATGAAACTATATGTCCTAAATACTTTACTTCTTTGCAAAGAAATTCACATTTTTCAATGCCTAGTCGTAGATCATATTCTCTAATTAATTTCAAGACGCTTTCCACGTGTCGTAGATGTTCATCAAATGTATTGGAGAATATTATTATGTCATCCAAATATACTACGACAAATTGATACAATACATTTCTTAAAACTTTTTGCATATATCGTTGAAATGTCGCCGGTGCATTGGTAAGACCAAACGGCATCACTTTAAACTGATATAAGCCATCAGGTGTTATAAATGCTGTCTTTGGTCTATCTGATACTTTTACATGAATATTCCAATATCCACTTAATAGGTCCATAACAGTAAAGTATTTACTTCCTTCAAGAGCTGCGAGAGCGTCGTTAATCAATGGTAAAGGATGTCTGTCTTTGATTGTAATAGAATTTAGTTTTCTGTAGTCTACACAAAATCTAATTTTGCCATTCTTCTTCTTAACTAATACTACAGGAAAACTATATGGTGATTTACTTTCTTCGATAACATTTGCATCCAACATTTCTTTTACTTGTTGTCGTATTATTTCTTTTTCTTTTGGTGAATTTCTATAAGCGCGTAAACGTACCGGTTCTTCTGTTGTTAACTTAATTTCGTGTTCAACATCGATAGCTTTTCCCAGCTGTAGAACAGATTCTCCGAAAAGATCTCTATTCCTTTCAAGCAATCTAAGCATTTTTTGTCTCTTGTAATTATCAGAAGTAAGGATATGAAACTGTTTTTTATTATCATCTACGCTTTCAA